GCGTGTTGTGGGTGTTCACACGCGTGTTGTGTGTGCACACGCGTGTTGTACGTGCACACGCGTGTTGTGGGTGTTCACACGCGTGTTGTGGGTGTTCACACGCGTGCTGTGGGTGTTCACACGCGTGTTGTGTGTTCACACGCGTGTTGTGTGTGCACACGCGTGTTTTGGGTGTTCACACGCGTGCTGTGGGTGTTCACCCGCGTGTTGTGGGTGTTCACACGAGTGTTGTGTGTGCACACGCGTGCTGTACGTGCACACGCGTGTTTAATGTGCGCACGCGTGCTGTGGGTGTTCACACACGTGTTGTGGGTGTTCACACGCGTGTTGTGTGTGCACACGCGTGTTGTGGGTGCACACGCGTGTTGTGTGTTCACACGCGTGTTGTGTGTGTTCACACGCGTGTTGTGGGAGTTCACACGCATGTTGTACGTGCACACGCGTGTTGTGGGTGTGCACACGCGTGTTGTGGGTGTTCACACGCGTGCTGTGTGTTCACACGCGTGTTGTGGGTGTTCACACGCGTGCTGTGTGTTCACACGCGTGTTGAGTGTTCACACGCGTGTTGTGTGTGCACACGCGTGTTGTGGGTGTGCACACGCGTGTTTAATGTGCACACGCGTGTTGGGTGTTCACACGAGTGTTGTGTGTGCGCACGCGTGTTGTGTGTGCGCACGCGTGCTGTGGGTGCGCACGCGTGCTGTGGGTGTTCACACGCGTGTTGTGGGTGTTCACACGCGTGTTGTGGGTGTGCACACGCGTGTTTAATGTGCACACGTGTGTTTAATGTGCACACGCGTGTTGTGTGTGCACACGCGTGTTGTGGGTGTTCACACGCGTGTTGTGTGTTCACACGGGTGTTGTGTGTTCACACGCGTGTTGTGGGTGTTCACACGCGTGCTGTGGGTGTTCACACGCGTGTTGTGTGTGCACACGCGTGTTTAATGTGCACACGCGTGTTGTGTGTTCACACGCGTGTTGTGGGAGTTCACACGCGTGTTGTGGGTGTTCACACGCGTGTTGTGGGTGTGCACACGCGTGTTGTGGGTGTTCACACGCGTGTTGTGGGTGTTCACACGCGTGTTGTGTGTTCACACACGTGTTTAATGTGCACACGCGTGTTGTGTGTGTTCACACGCGTGTTGTGGGTGTTCACACGCGTGTTGTGTGTGCACACGCGTGTTGTGGGTGTTCACACGCGTGTTG